CTTTAACCACTGCATCACCAGGGATCCTTTATTTATGGTTAGACATCTTTTAACAAAAAGGATGAATACTGAAGGTTTGATCCTCCCTGCATGTTTTATGAGGTTAATAAAAACAATATGCAGAACTATAATACTAGTTTAGACTAAGGTGGTTTCAAAAGCACAATTTGCATTAAACAATCTACAATTTATATATAAAAAAACACCCATTGCCGTCCAGTCTATTCCAACTCATAGCGACCCTAAAGGACAGAGTAGAATTGTCCCATAGGGTTTCCAAGGCTGCAATCTTTATGGAAGTAGACTGTCACATCTTTCTCCTGTGGAGCAATTGGTGGGTTCAAACTGCTGACTTTTCGGTTAGCAGCTGAGCACTTAACCACTGTGCCACCAGGGCTCCTTACTGCAATATTAACCCATTGTTGTCGAGTCGATTTCAACTCATAGGGGTAAGTAAGTACTAACTAACTAGTGGTAGCTGTGGTAGCTGTAGTAGCTATATTTTTAAAAGAGACTTCAGTTTATTAAGCTCTTTTTTTTCCATTTTTGTTGTCACGATAATCTTTTGAAGTACCAAGTTTATTTTACAAAGCAGGAAACTAATGTTTAGTGAGATTTGTTATTTAGTCTTATTTGCTTTAGTCTTAACCATCATACGGATTCCTAATAATTAAATATTCCAACACCGATATTAAGCACAAAACACTTAAAAAATATTTAATACCTGCAACTCTCTGAGGTTGTTAAGAGAAGATTCTAAAATTTCATTTGTCCAGACACTGAATCCAGTAGAGATAGCAATACATCACAGTATTTATCTCAGAACTTTATTTATACTAATTTGAACAAATACTAACATGATAATTGATCAAATAAATATTAAAGGCAGATATAACCATATTTTCATAAAACTATAAAATTGTAATTTCTGATTTTAAGCTAGTATTTCGTTGTTTCAAGGACACTGAAGAACACTCATGAAAACTCAGACAAAGGGTAGGAATCTATAATATTCACAAGCATACTCAAGATGACCGCCTACTCCATCTTGAAATTGTATGATTATAAAACGATCCCCTTAACCTTGACACATTTTAGAAACCTTGAAGAAAGCATCAAGTACTTTGCAGTTCTAAGGCCAGGGTATTGGTCAGCATTAAGTTTGACCTTGTAAAGAGAAGATTATACCAGATCAATTTTATTAGCTTCTATGACAGAGTGAAAATCCTTAAAGGAAAAGAGAAACAGACTTTCGTTTTCTTGGGCTTGAGTTAGACTTCTATTTTCAGTCTTTAGTCTGATTAGCAATTAAGTCCTGAGGTTCATATATTGTCCTCCAAGGACTCCCTGGGGCCTGGAGAGGCTCCCCCACAGGCTGCCTAAGGGGTTGGGGGTACAGGAACAGTGATTATGGGCCTTGGGCCTCTCCTCCCTGATTTCAGGAACAGAAGCTCTGCTTTTATTTTTTTTTTTATATTTTTGACAATAAAGAGTGTTTGAAGAAAGAATACCTCTCTGTCTCAAAGGCTGAAAAGCATTCTTTCAAAGCATTTGCTTTCAATATGTTCTCAGTCAGATGTCACATCGGATTCTAAGAATTCTTAATATTAATGTCATTAACTGGAGCCAACTAGCAAGGATGGCAGTCTGATACAGAGCCAATATGGCTTAATATCTTTATTAGTAATATGGGTGAAATAATTAAAAGTCTACTCCTGATGTTTCTAAAGCTCATGTTTCTAAATCTCTATTCTTCATTTCTCACTTTCTTTGGACATGTTATTAGGAGGGACCAGTCCCTGGAGAAGGACATCTTGCTTGGAAAGGTAGAGGGTCAGTGAAAAAGAGGAAGGAAGACCCTTAACGAGATGGATTGACACAGTGGCTGCCAGCAATAGGCTCAAACATTGTGAGGATGGTACAGGATTGGGCAATGTTTCGTTCTGTTGTACGTAGGATCACTATGAGTCAGAACGGACTCAATGGCACCTAACAAAAACATGTTTCTAACTGATGCTAAGTCGGGCGTGATCAAAACAAATTCAAAAGCACTCTGACAAGTTATTTGAAGTGTCATTTAGAAACACAAGTTTAATAGAATTAGGACTTAGGACGAAGAGCAAACGTATCAAATCAAAATGGAGAAAGAACATATAGGCAGCAACAGGGTAAAGCAATAAAAATAAAAACTAAAATCTTTGGAAGTCATTGTCTATTCAACAGTTGTGATGCTTAAAAAGGGGAAAAATAAGCTAACACAGCTGTTGGCTAAATTAATAGAGATAATATATAAGAAAAATTCTTCCACTTTATTTGACACTGGACAGGCCCTAATTAGTGTATGCTTTTTGACAGTTTCATTTGAGAAGTGTGTTGAATACTTAAATAAGGACTAGGCAAGAAAACAAAATACTAAATTATTCCTATGCAAAAAAGCTAAAAGAAATTGAAATATTTACCTTGAAGAAGAGATGACTATAGGAAAAAAATTACTGTCTTCAAAGGCTATTAATAATTACAATAAATTGTTCTCCTGCCCTAGACAGGACTACTGAATGTGATGAATATGTAGAAATAATGGCGAGATAATTTAATTTTCTGTAAGTAAGTCTTCACGATAATAAGGAAGTTTCAAATACTGGAACATTCAACTGGGAGATTCTATAAGATTTCTTTTCACCCCTAGACAGATTTAGTAGGAGAAAACACACATTCCTCACCTTGGCTCCCTTACACTATTTCACTGGCTTATCTTCACAAATTTCCAACTGGGGATAATGAAAGTATAGGGCCTCGCCATGGTAAAAGTGTTTTCTGAAGGTTATGTCTTCTTCACCATATATATACAGCTCACCATAGATATATATCTATCTATATATATATATATATAGATAGATAGATAGATAGATACAGGTAAGGTATAAAAACTGACAGGTGGTAGAGACAGACGCATAGAGGCAGGTGGTTGTACTGTGGTGCCTTGCATGTTGCTATGATGCTGGAAGCTATGCCACTAGAATTTCAAAAGCCAGCAGAGTCAACCTTTGTGGAATGGTTTCAGTGGAGCTGCCAGACTAGGAAAGACTAGGAGAAAGGTCTGGTGATCTACTGCCAAAAATTAGTCAACAGAAACCCAGTGGATCACAGAATATTGTCTGAGACCTCAATTCGCTTACTTTGAACACATCATCAGGAGGGACCAATCACTGAAGAAGAACATTGTGTTTGGTATATGGTGGTCTAGCAAAGGCAAGAGAAACCCTCAATGATACAATGGGTGCAGCAATGTTCTCAAATATACCAGTGATCACGAAGATGGAGCAGTGATCATGAAGATGGTGCAGGATTGGGCAACATTTCACTCTGTTACACATGGGGTCACCATGAGTTTGAGCTGACTCAATGGCTACTAACAACAACAACGACAAGGTATAAGACATTTCCTAAGAAGAATATCTTCAGTAAAGGTTCTTTGCTGTTCAGACATAGAATTAGCACAGTGTCACAATTTCCAATCACATATGAGGTGATACGTGTAGGCTGCTCACCAGTATATATCCTGGGGTTCCTCTCTGACGTGTATAAGTGGCTTGCTTTCAGGTTTTCATAAGCCTTGAAGTGGTAGATTCTGTACCTTGACACCTCTAACTTTCTCTTACAATTTCTTTCATAAGGGTTCATCTGCTCTGCCAAGGCCCTGACTTCTGTTGACCCTTTTCCTTACAAGGTCCCAAATGACTCTATATTTCTATACTTCTCAGTATCACCTATCTATGATGTTGGTTCCTATCAGATACTATCTAGGTTCTACCTGTATCTCCTCAAAACTTCTATTTCTATCTTATAGTGTTACTAACAGTTAATCCAGAGGCTTTCAAATTAAACTCTGTGCATACTTACAAAATCCACTCTCCAGACCTATGAATCTTCCTACTGCAAGCATCTGAGACTCTGCCACGGGGCTGCTCTCTTCGGCCACAGAACTTGCTTGGCCCAGGCATAAGGCTCAGGTACCACCTCTGGGGATAGTCTTCAACCAGCGATGAGCAGGCACATACATATCCAGCTTTCATTCTCTCAGGTGAGATAATTCTGAGGCATGTTCTACAGTATCTCCATAGTTCTCCAGCAGGATCAAGCCCCAGTTTATCCAGTGACTCATAATCATACCTTGTATTGGCTTTCTTTCCCTCCCTGTCTCATTCCATCTGTCTCACTTTCTCTTAAATAGACTACTGATAAAGCAAGTCCTTACCTTAGGACCTGCCTCCAGGTAAACCCCTCCTAAGATAAGGTGTCTCCATCTCTCTTACATATACATTTTCTGAAGGACTTCCATTGTTTTTTAAGATATTTAAAAAATATTCCACATTAACATTTGAGTACAAACAGATAACCCTGGATTTGCGTATGCAGTCTGCCTTCTAGCAGACTGTTCACTCACACCTTTGGGGAAGCAGCATATACTCCCCCAAACAGACAACTCCAAGACTGGAATAGTTCAAGTGTTTATGAACTTGTTCTTGGAAGCTCCAACTGAGGTTTCTTGTTGAACACTCTGTGATTCTATGACCTAGAATAAGAGGGTTTGGTCATAGAGATAACTTGTTTTAAACATAGTTTCCTACTAATTTCAGTACAGTGATGAAAAAGATTCTTTATTTTTATTCAAGAAAAAATCAGCATATTACTTTTGGTATTTTTCTTTGGTTTCTGATCATTCTATGTGACACCTCAACGAATCCTCCATTATCATTTCTGCACACGCAGTAGTTAAATGTGGTCATTTGTGTAAGTTATAACCAAATACATAAGTAAAAGTGTTGTTTGTAAAACAGTCAGTAGATCTGACTTTGGGGATGCATATGAATTTCTAAAGTTCTAATAGATTTCAGCATTGACATTACAGCATAGAAATAAAACACTACTTGCATTCATCCCAGACATTCCAGATGGTGAAGAATGTTACAATAATTCAATGGAAGGTAAAGCAAACTTACCCGAATCATCATGACTGAACATCTGATATCATGAATTGTATCATAGATCTTCTTTGAGATGTCCACAAATTGATTGTCATCAAACACATCCATAAAGTGCTCGCTTAAGGCTTCCAAGGCAACATTCACTTGTGTTACAAACTCAGGAATTGCTGTTAAAATAAATTAGGAAGAGAAGATTGTCCTTTTTCGTATTTGTGGATTTCTGCAATTTCTAAGAAATAGAGAATTGTATTTTTAACCAAATATTTGACTAACAAAATTTTAATTATTATTATTTTTAATGTAGAGAGAATAAAATATGGTAGAATAATCTTGTTTTCTGAAAAGTAAGGTAAATCAAAGACAATGAAAGATTTTTTTTAAAAAATTTTAAAAGATCATCTATCTCCTTTATGTCATTTTGGCTTTACCAAGCCTTGGATAATACAAGCATTTCTCATTCCATCCAATATAAACCCCCAAAAATTACAAACAAGAACTGCTGTGAAAAACAGTTTGAATTGTATCCATAAAGAAATTTAAAGAAAGCAAGCATTTGTATTGCTAAAAGGAAGAAAATTTAATTAAAGGTACAAATTCTATCTTGTAGAAATAACACAAACACTGCAAACTATCTTTTGGTAAGATGTTTCTCCTATCATCAAAAAGATGACTAAGAGGAGTTCCGGCAAGATGGCGCTCTAGGCAGAAGCACCACGCCGTCCCTCCACAGCAAAGATCCGAAAAACTAAGCCAAACAGAGAATACAACAATCCTGAAACC